TTATCCATTCTTCAGTTGATGGGCACTCCAGCTGTCTCCATCTTTTTGCTATTGTAAATAGTGCTACTATGAACATTGGTGTGCACATATCTACTCATATTATGGTTCGCATTTCTTGTGGGTAAATACCAAGTAGAGGGATTGCTGGATCATAAGGTATTTCTATTTCCAACCTTCTGAGGAAGTGCCATATTGCTTTCCAGAGAGGTTGGACCATTCTGCAGTCCCACCAGCAATGTAGGAGTGTCCCAGTCTCTCCACATCCCCGCCAGCATTTATTGTCATCTAATTTTTTGATCTTTGCTGTTACTGCTGGTGTGTGATGAAATCTCATTATTGTTTTTATTTGCATCTCTCTGATGGCTAATGATCGTGAACATTTCTTAATATGTTTGTTGGCTGCCCGGATCTCTTCCTTGGTGATGTGTCTGTTCTTGTCCTGCGCCCATTTTTTAATTGGGTGAGGTTCTTCTTTTATGCTCACCCTCTACTTACTGAGCATGATGTCCTTCTCCAAGGACTGGTCCCTCCTAATGACATGTCCAAAGTACATGAGCTATAAAGTCTTGCCATTCTAGCTTCTAAGGAACCTTCTGGAAGTACTTCTTCCAAGTCAGATCTGTTTGTTCTTTTAAGAGTCTATGGTATAGTCAATATTCTTTAACAACTTCACAATGCAAATACATCAATTCTTTTTAGTCTTCCTTATCTATTATCTACCTTTTGCAACAGATTTGTCCCTTGCAATACTTTGATTTCTTGACTGCTGCTTTCATGGATGTTGATTATAGATCCAAGTAAAGTGAAATTTCTGACAAGTTCAATATTTATTCTATTTATGATGATGCTGCTTACTGGTTCAGTTGTGAAGATTTGTGTTTTATGCTAATGTGTAATCCATACTGAAGGTTGTAGTCTTTGATATTCATCAGTAAGCACTTCATGTTCTCTTTGTTTTCAGCAAACAAGGTTGTGTCATCTGCATATTGCAGTTCAATGAGCTGTCTTCCAATCCTGATGCTGCATTCTTCTTCATATAGTCCAGCTTCTTGAATTACAAATCAAATAAATATGGTGAAAGGATACAACTCTGTCAACACCCACCTTTTCTGATTTTAAAAAACAGTATTTTAAACAACTGCCTCTTGGTTCTATATACAGCTTCCTCATGAGTACAATTAAGTGTTCTGGAATTCCCATTCTTTGCAGTATTATTTATATTTTGTTATGTTCCTCACAGTAGAATGCTTTTGCATAGTGAATAAAACACAGGTAAACATCTTTCTGACATTCTCTACTTTCAGCCAAGATCCATCTGGCAGCAATAATGGTAACCCTCGTTCCATGTCCTTTTCTGAACCTAGCTTGAATTCTGACAGTTCCTGTTGATGTACTGCTCCAACCAATTTTAAATTATCTTCAGCAATATTTTACTTGTATGTGTGTGGTGCATATTGTCAGGAGGGACCAGTCGCTGGAGAAGGATATCATGATTGATAAGGTAGAGGGTCAGAGAAAAAAAGGAAGACCCCCAGAGAGATGGATTAGCCAAGTGACAGCATTGATGGACTCAAGCGTGGCAACAGTAGTGAGGTTGGCCCAGGATCAGGTAGTGTTTTGTTTTGCTGTGCATAGGGTCACTATGAGTCAGTACCGACTTGATGGCACCTAACAACAACAACGTGTGTGGTGCAGTGAATTACTTAATACGGTTCTTCTAGTCACTCTTTGTAACTCCCACCAAAGAACTAGGTGAAACTAAGCAGAATGGGTGTGTTTTTTTCTTTCTGTATAAGAAGGTGGGAGAAGATGCTGATAGGATTATATAATTCCGTTCTGAGTGACTATAACAGGGCTAATTGTGATCATAGAAACTGGAACTCTCAACATGGAGATGGGCCAATTTTATCATCCTGGTGGGTTTAAAATGATCCATCTCAGAACCAGGAAGGGGGTTCTCACTACTATCCAGAAAAAAGAGCCAGGGATGGAGCATGTCCTCTGGGCCCCGAGATCTCTAAGAGTTGAACCTCCTGATCCAGGAGACAGCTGTGATGACAAAGGAGTGGTAGAGGAGCAGAAGAAGCAGAACCAAGAGCCAGAGCACAAGATAGACCAGTGGACGGCCCAGTCCAAAGAGCAAGTAAAGCTGAGTATCTTCAGGCAGAAAGCTAGTTTGTGGAGTAAGGTACTTCCAGACAATTAATATGGGGAGCTAGGTTTGTCGATCCATGGAGCTAAAGTAGAGTGCCTTCAGGCTGAGGCTTATAGGAGAAAAGAGTGCCCTGTGATAACCCTAAAAGAGCTTTGTAGCAATGCCTGAGCTGGACAGAGGCCAAAGGGCCATGTGGCTGAGAGGTCAAGGACCAAGAGAGAGGCTTGCCTTTGGACATGACTAGAAAAAGGCTGTCCTGACCAAAGACCTGTATCTTGAGCATTTTTGATACTGAATTGTAACCTGTTAACTTCTGTAATAAACTCCAAGTTGTATACGGCCACTGCAATGAAATGGAGAACCCAGCAGAGACGCAGAGTGCTATGGGAGGGATGGCTGGTGTCAAAATGGTTAAGTCGGTTGGAGGGTGGAGGCATGTCTGACTCTGCCTCATAGCAGATGGCCTAGAGTTAACCTTGAGTTTGATTCTCCTTCCCCCTTGTGAAGATGAGGAGACCAAACACCATTTAACATTGAGGTATTAATGATAATGCTTGATAATTTCTGCTCTCGACTGCTCTTTCTTTGGAATGGACACAAATATGAATCTCTAATAGTTGATCACTTAGGTAGTTGTCTTTCAAATTTCACAGCATAGACCCAGTGAATGCTTCCAGTATTGCATCCATTTGTTGAAAAAATCTTAACTGGTAGTCCATCAATTCCTAGAGCCTTGTTTTTCACCAAAGCCTTTAGTGCAACCTGAACTTCTTCCTTCAGTATCATAGGTTCTTGATCATACGCTACCTCCTAAAATGACTACGTATTGATCTTTTTTTTTGTTATCTTCTTGTTAGGTGCCATCGAGTCGGTAATGACTCATAGCTACCCTATGCACAACAGAATGAAACACTGCCCAATCCTGGGCCAACCTCTTAATTCTTGCCTTTTTGCCCTCTAGGAGACACTTGTCAAAATCTATAAACCCTTTCTGGTGTCACAACTAGGGAGGTGGGTGCTATTGGCATCTAATGGGCATTGCCAGGGATGCTGCTCAGCATCCTCCAATGCATACGACATCTCTGCACAACAAAGAATTATCTGGCCTCAAAGGATCAAGGTTGAGGAATCCTAATTTATACATATTGTGTTATATTATCTTTATAACAATCCAAGGAGATTAGCATTGTAATTATTATTTCAATAAGGACCAAAGTCACCTGGCTAGTAAACAGAGACAGGAGTCAGACCCAGGAAGCCTGACTCCAGCCTGCAGTAGTAAGCTCTGCCACACTGCATTTTAGCTGCTGATAATTTGTGAGTTGCTTGAGAACAGAGCCCAAATCTCCCTCACCTTGATTCCTAAGACTTAACACCATGTCTGGCACACAGAAGGAGCTCAGTAAATGTTGGCTGCATAAATGCTTACACAGTCAGACATACTGCAACCAGGTGACTGGGCAGTAAAATGGTGGTGAACATTGTATCACACAGCATAACACATTTTAGTTAGATACAGCCAACGTTTCTTACCTGAATTGCTGTAGACCCACTTCTCATTAGCGGACAATGCCACAAACTTAGTGTTGGAAGGCAGACACCAAAAGTAATCATCATCAGCCACTATGGTGCCATCCTCTGCTAGAACCAATGTGATTGGTGCCAGGGACTGATCAATGGCCAGAATGTCACAAGCTGAGAGGAATAAAATATTTGACAACTCAAAAATTCCATCCTTTAGAGAATTCAAGATCCAAAGTACAAATTCATATCCATAAAGAAATTATGCCTGCAGTTATTGGCAACCACAACTCCCAGCGCTGACACAGCACTAACATGGGCCTGGCACTGTTCTAAGTGCTTTTCATATACAATATTTAATCCTCAAAACAATCCTATATGGCAGGTACTATTATAATTCCCGGAATCCTGGTGTGGCACTGTGGGTTAATGCACTGGACTGCAAAGTCGTTTGAATCACAAGGTTGGCGGTTCAAGCTCACCAGCTGCTCCTTGGAAAGTCTATAAAGGGTTGCTATGAGTCAGAACCGACTCGATAGCACTTAACAATAACAACATTATTATTCCCATTTTACAGATTTCAAAAAAAAAAAAAAAAAAGAAAGGTTCAGTAAGTAACTTGCCCAAGCAAAATTGGAATTTAACTCTTGTCTTACTCCTGGAAATGTGTTTTCTACAACTATTCTACAACACACATATTAAGTACTCAAGTCTCTCACTGAATAAAAAACTATATAAAAAACTGGTTTGATTCCTTGTGAATAAGTAGTCATATCTCATCTTACTCAGTGGTCATCTTAAAATTCTCTATGTGTCCAGTGTCCCCAAAATAAATGTTTTTAAAAATAAATGTTTTTTATTCTTTGTAATAGCTTTCTTTGCAGCCTTTCTAACCAATAGGAAATCATCGGAGAAACAAAAAGTATGTATCAGTGGTTTTTCAGCTTTATTATGCAGTTCTGTACTATCCCATTTAGTGATGACAATGAGAATGAAATATGCCAAAGCAAGAGACTTCAAATATATGTAGACAAATTTGTCTACCAACCAAATAGAACAACCCTGCGTAGACCGGGGTGCCACAAAAAACAAACCCTTAAACAAGTCTCTGAAGCAAGTACATTCAGCCCAATACACTTTTCAGTGACAAAAAAATCTTAGTATCAGAAAAGAAATTAAGTAGTTTACACAGCGAAAGCCACGTCACCAGAGCATAGGTTGCAGTGCTTTGACTGCTATATAATCAACTGCAACTTAAGTGCCTCTGAGAATCAGCACTACACTGTGACTACATACCTGGGGCTAGCTCACTGGTGTAATCAATCACAAAGGGCTAATAACACTTGGAAGTCATCTGAATATTCAGCTCAATTCAACAGTTCTAGCTTAGAGTGCTAACAGTCCTGGGAAGCACTAAAACTATTATACGTACATTTCCAATAAGAAAACTGAGGGTCCAGAGATGTTTGTGCAAGGGCAAACAACATGGGGCTGGGGCTCAGAACTTCTGTCATCTCAGTCATCCATGCACTCAACACCGTCCTTCTGTCTGGACCTCCAGGACAGTCAGAAGCTGCTCCCTCTTTCTGGTACAGGTACTCCCCCTACCCTCACCCCCAAGTGACTAGGCTAGGGCGCCCCAGTACTACTTTAGCGATCTATAGTGAGTGCGCGGTTTTGTTCCGAAATCAGTATGATCTGGGATAAGATACTTAAACCGAGCCTGTCATACTTTCCATTTTGAGTCTCACACGAGATTAATCAAGTTTCAGCGCCTGTAAACGACTAGAAAACGCTCCGAAACCTGTATAGCGCTATCCACACAAGAGTCATTTCACTGCCGCTTCCTAAGGCTCCACCGCGCTTACACGGCTCCCCAAGTCGTCTCCAGGACCCTAGATCAGTCTCCGCCCGACTTCCTCTTCGGCCCTATCCCTCCCTAGCCTCCTGCCTCGGTCCAGTACCAACCCTTGCTCCTCAGCTCCTCAAGGCAAGAGGCTGCCACGCCATGCTGTTCGCGGCTGTGGTTGCGACGCAGCAGGCATGGTTTCAGCGCCCGAAACTCCCCAGACTCAGTAGCCTGGGATTCCTGAGTCACCTCCATCCTCTTCAAGGTTGGACCTGAAAGATCGAAGGAAGTCGGAGAAACTGGGTGAGACGAGTCCCCGCTCCCCCCATGGTATGCCGGGAGATGTAGTTTTCTTCCATTAAATCATGCGTGGGAACAAGGCACGCCGGGAGATGTAGTGTAGTTCTAGCCGTTTCTAGTCACCTGCGAACCCGCGCATACCCGCATTTGTAGTCTCACCATCCAAAACGAAATGCTGTTAAATGCATTACGACTCTGTAAGGGATTTCCGAGGCTATACATCTTATTGGGAGCAGAAAGATTTCTCCTGTGGAGAGGCTGAAATCTTTGAACTGCCGACCTTGGGGTTAGCAGTTCTGTGCTAACCAGTACTCCTAAAAGCAGTTCTGTGCTAACAAGTACTCCTAAAAGTGGTTTCTGTTAAAATTTTGTGATTATGCCCAATAGGAGTTTGTTCCAACTTTGTACGTATTTAGGAGATGCGTTGCACATTCACTAGGGCTATAGGAATTCGTTTTGCATTATGAAGTACTCACATATATTCTCGGATTTTTCAAGTATTCTTATTTGCATATATCCAGAAAACAAAACTCATTAACATCTGTTGATTCCATCTCATAGGACCTTGTATAGGGTTTCAGAGGCTAAATCTTTACCTGAGCAGACAGCTTTATCTCCCACTCCCTTTAGAAATTTGCTGCTGGTAAGTTTGAACCAACCTGTGGTTAGCTGCCTAACTCCTAAACCACAGCACAACTGTTCAGTGTCATAGAGTTGGTTCCAACTTATAGCGACCTTGTGTATGGTTGCCAAAGAGCGACTGGTAGCTTTAAACAACTAACCTTACAGTTAGCAGTCCTGTGCTCATCCTATAGCGCCACAACAGGACTCAACATGACCAGGTGTCTTAATACATAATTACTTAATAAAGACACTTGGGCACGCATTCTGCTAACTGATTTTCCCTTTCTTGAAAAAAACAAAACAAAACTGTATGATGCTCCAAACTTCATGCTAATTTAAAGGACCAAAACCCACACCATCCAGTATATTCCAACTCATAACAACCCTATAGGACACAAAGGAACTGACTCACAGGGATTCCAAGTCTGCAAAGATTTATGCAAGCAGATCTTTCTGCCACAATTTGAAGGAAGTCAGTTTTAAAAATTGATGAGTGTAATTTTAGTCTCACTGAAACATACAACAAAGTAACATAAGATACCATTTCACCCATTTGATTCCTTATTTTAACTGTGCAAACTGGGTTTGGGTTCTCAAAACAAAATACTTAAATAAAAAGATTCAAATTTTAAGAATGCAAAGAAATCAGAGAGCAATGGGTAAAAAAAATCACCGTTTGAGATTCTCCAGTTGCTATTTGGCAATACATTAATTTTTCTTCTAATACTACAACTTTCCAAAAAGTCTGGTTTGTTTCCCTCCTTCTCCCCTTGAGAAAATAACATTCCTGGCAACTAGTGGTTACAAGTTGGACTGCTAACCACAAGGCCAGATGTTCGAATCCACAGCCACTCCATGGGAGAAAGATGCAATCTGGAGTCCTGGTGTGGCGCTGACTGGACTGCTAACTACAAGGTTGGTGTTTCGAATCTACCAGCCGCTCCTTGGAAACCGTGTACAGGGTTTCTATGAGTCAGAATTGACTCGAAGGTACTTAATAACAACAATAATTTAAAAACAAAACAAAAGCTCATCAAAGTAGTTCCTTGCTTAATAGGGAGGAGGTATTTAAAAAACAAAATGGATCAATTCCTTTCATATTTTATTTATGAAAACTTGGGCGAAGAGATAGATATTATGTCATAAGAAAAGTGTAGGCATTTAAGACATTGTTTTGTAAGGGGTTTGTCAATTGAGGCAATGAGAACTGTCCCATAGGGTTTCCAAGGCTGTAATCTGTTGATATCAGATGAATCTAGGCTGAAAGCAGAAAGTACAAGAAAGATACTTACTTATGCTTTGTTGACTATTCAAAGACATTCTGTGTGAATCAATACAAACTATGGGGAACACTGGGAAGAATGGGAATTCCAAAACACTTCATTGTGTTCATGAGGAATCTGTATATAGACCAAGAGACAGTTGTTTGAACAGAATAAGGAGATATTAAATTATTTTAAAAGAGCTCTGAAGAGGTAGCTGCTGACCGCAGGGTCAGCGGTTCAAAACTACCAGCTATTCCATGGGAGAAAGATGAGGCTTTCTACTCCCATAAAGATTTACAGCCTCGGAAACCCTATGGGACAGTTGGAACCAACTCCATGACACATAATCACCACCAAATGATTTTAAATCAGGAAAGTTGTCCTTTAGGGTTATATCCGTTACCATTCTTATTTAATCTATATGCAGAGCAAGTAATCAGAGAAGTTGGGTTATTTGAAGAAGAACATGGAGTCAGAATTGGAGGAAGACTCCTTAAGAACCTGTGATATGCAGATGATACAACTTTGCTTGCTGGAAACAAAGAGGACTTGAAGATCAAAGACTATAACTTTCAATAGAAATTGCATCTCAATGTAAAGAAAATAAAAATCCTCTGACCTGTAAACTTTCACTCAATCCACAAAAAAAGCATAAAATAAAAAATAAAAATCCTCACAACTGGCCCAGTAAATCACATGATAAACAGAGAAAAGGTTGAAGTTGCCAAAGATTTCATTTAACTTGGATCCAGCAGTCAAGAAATCAAATGATGTATTGCTTTAGGCATATCTGCTGCAAAAGACCTCTTTAAAATGTTCAAGAGCAAAGATGTCACTTTGAGGACTGAGGTGTACCTGCCCTAAGCTATGGTATCTTCATATGCATGTGAAAACTGGACAATAAGTATAGAAGGCCAAAGAACAATGGATTCATTTGAACTATGGTATTGGTGAAAATATTGAAAATACCCTGGACTGCCAGAAGAATGAACAAATCTGTTTTGGAAGAAATATGGGGAAAGGTCAGCGGTTCAAAACTACCAACTGTTCCTCGGGAGAAAGATGAGGCTTTCTAATCCCGTAAAGATTTACAGCCTCGGAAACCCCATGCACGGTCGCTATGAGTCGGAACCAACTCCACGGCACATAACCACCACCACCATGGCCAAATAGCTCCTTAGAAGCCAGCATGGTGAGACTGTTTCTCGTACTTTGGACATGTGGTTAAGGACCAATCCCTGAAAAAGGACACCATGCTTGATAAAGTGAAGGGTCAGCAAAAAAGAGGAAGACCCTTAATGAGACGTATTGATACAGTGGAAACAACAATGGGCTAAAATATAAGCACAATTGTTAGGATGGCATAGGGCCAAGTAGTGTTTCATTCTGTTATACATAGAGTCACTATGAGGAGAACTGATTTCATGGCACCTAACAACGACAACAACAGTCTTTTAGGAAACTGACGTCCACATCTTTCTCCTGCTGAGTGATCAGTGGGTTTCAAATGCTGACTTTTTGGTTAGCAGTTGTGTTCTTTAATCACTGACCCACTGAGATTCCTTATTGTTGATCCAAGTAGAATAAAATAATTGATGGCTTAAATTTCTTCTTCATTTGTTGGATTTTTATTGGTCTGTGCTGTTAGCTGCCATGGAGTTGATTCCAACTCACAGCAACCCCATGTGTACAAAGTAGAGTTGCTCCCAACAGGTTTCCAAGGCTGTGACCTTTTGAAGG